AAAAGGGCTGAGGGTGTAGAAAGAGGTGTTTGCCATGGCTGTGGTCAATGAGACCACCAAGAACCATGGTGAACTGGTTGCCAAAGTGCATCCAGGCCTTTGGCACAGGAGTGTGGGTGGGGAGAGGGAGTGGGTTGGAGTAGTCAATGATCAGGCTCATGTAAAGACTTGGTTGACTCGTTGCTTGGTGGCATCAGTCCTTGTAACTGAGGTGTTCTGCAGAAGAAAGAGCAAGGTGGTGAGTCCATGCACTCACAAACTGTGCTGCCTCAAGAGGGCTTTTGGCTCTCAAGCATTGCTGTGCAAAGTCCATGCAAGCAGAGCACTTGCCAAGGCATGAGTTCTTAGGCAACTTCACATAGGCAAAGTGGGAAGCAATGTGTTTGAGCATAGCAGAACAGGTGAGCACAGGAACAGTAGAGGGATGAGCATTGGCACACATAGAGTGCACTTCTTGCCAAGTCAAAGAAATAGGTAAGTGGATGGTGGCATCAGGAAGGTGATCTCCAATCACATCAAAGAAAGTGGTTAGCCATAAGTGGGTATTGGAGGTGGCATTTGAGGGATGTTGCTGTCCAGTGGTGTATTGGGACACGCCCACCAGAAATGAATATCTGTTTAGCAGAACACCACTTCTTCCTGCTGAAACCATGCACCTTGTAGAGCAGCAATGTGAGGTGGGATAACAAATGTAAGGCCACAATAAAAAGGGTTGGCACCTTTTGGAAAGCATTCAAACACACTGGAGAACCATTGAGTCACAACTTGAAAGTTGAGACACAGCTGGCTGACATGATGTTGATGATGAAGGTGGTGCAATCACATTCATTGAGATCTGCAAAGGGTTGTGTGATGTTGAGAATGTCAGCAAAGGAGAAGTTATCAAGGCATTTCTTGCGACAACAGAATGATGCAAGAACAGTATTGATGTGATCATTGCTGACAAGCAGGCGACGCTTTTTGGGGATTCACTCTTCAGCAGTTTGGAGAACTCTCTTCCTTGGAGTATGAGCTGTGGCTTGTAAGGACTGGCTGAAGATTGGGGATAGTAGGGTAGAGGTGAGGACCTCAGTGTTGGTGGGGAGAGAGTGGCTCATTGTGGTGGAGAACAACTGTATGACAATGGAGAGGTATTTAAACATTTGGTGTGATATCTCCAATTCCCAACAGCCACATAACAGATAGATGTGGTTCTTCTGGATTGGCAAACATTTGTGTTTCTTGGAACTCCAGACCAATGAGCTCACAACTAACAACAGTGGAGTTGAGGAAAATACTGGACAAATTAACAAACCCAATGTGCATCAGGTTTTTTATTGGTCAACTCTTTTCCCAATGCACATCAGGAAGATCTCAAAGCTCTCCAGACCACACGAAATTTCGCCACCTGTTTCCAGTCCCTCCAATTAGAATTTAATGTGGACAGCTTTTTTGTAGACCTTCACTACCTATAAAATGTTGAAAAACCTGTTTTGATCATTTTGTTGTACCACCCACATTCAACACACACTTCCTTACAATGTCTTCTTGCCAAGCTGCCTCAGGCCTTCCCAACTTCTTGGCCATGTTGGCCACTGAGCTTCTAGCAAGCTCCTGTAATGCCCTGGCAAAGGTGCACCAGCAACCCAGCACCAAGGTTACCACCAAGGCATACATTGATGGGTTGCTGCAGGTGTGGGGCCAAGACACTGGCTGCACAAAGCAGCAGTCTCTCAAACTGCTAACACAGTGTACACCAATTACAGCAGAGGAGGGAGCAAAAGAGCCAATGGATGTGGAAGAGGAGGAGGAGGAGGAGGAGGAGATGGAGGAAAAGGAGGTAGAGGAGGAGGAAGAGCAGGAGAAGGAGCTGGAGGAGGAGGAGGAGGAGAAGCAGGGGGAGGAGCAAATGGAGGAGGAGAAGGGGGTGGAGCTGGAGGAGGAGATAGTGGAGGAGGAGAAAAAGGAGGAGAAGGGAGAGGAAGTGCTGGAGGAGGAGTGGGAGGAGGAGTTGGAGGCGGAGGTGGAGCTGGAGGAGGAGGAGCACCAAGTGCTGCAAAGGAAGTGCAAGCTGGTAGAGGAAGAGTGCAAGGAGAGGAAATGTGCATGCATAGTGGTGATTGATGTGGACAAGGAGATGGAGGTGGAGGAGATCAAGACCAAGCCACACAAGCAGCTGGTGGTGTGCCAGTACTCTAAAGGCAACACTGAAGAGCAATGCAAGGAGCTGCCAGACTACTGCCTGCCTGACTGGACCTAGGTATGT